CCTTTTACGTAATTCGCGTAGAGCACAATCCAAAACCCGGATGTCCAGGCTAGTCACAGCTGTTTCCCATATGGCTGATAGTGTCGAGGGGGTGACGGTGATGGTGATGACTGTGGTGGTGATGACTGTGGTGGTGATGGTGACGACTGTGGTAGTGACGACTGTGGTGGTGATGACTGTGGTGGTGATGACTGTGGTGGTGATGGTGACGACTGTGGTAGTGACGACTGTGGTGGTGATGACTGTGGTGGTGATGACTGTGGTGGTGATGACTGTGGTGGTGATGACTGTGGTGGTGATGACTGTGGTGGTGATGACTGTGGTGGTGATGGTGACGACTGTGGTAGTGACGACTGTGGTGGTGATGACTGTGGTGGTGATGACTGTGGTAGTGACGACTGTGGTGGTGATGACTGTGGTGGTGATGACTGTGGTGGTGATGACTGTGGTGGTGATGACTGTGGTGGTGATGGTGACGACTGTGGTAGTGACGACTGTGGTGGTGATGACTGTGGTGGTGATGTGTCGAGGGGGTGATGACTGTGGTGGTGATGGTGACGACTGTGGTGGTGATGGTGACGACTGTGGTGGTGACGACTGTGGTGGTGATGTGTCGAGGGGGTGATGGTGTGATGATGGTGATGACTGTGGTGGTGATGTGTCGAGGGGGTGATGGTGTGATGATGGTGATGACTGTGGTGGTGATGGTGTGATGATGGTGATGACTGTGGTGGTGATGTGTCGAGGGGGTGATGATGGTGATGACTGTGGTGGTGATGTGTCGAGGATGTGATGGTGATGACTTTGATAGTTGTAGCATTGATGGTGATGGTGTAGAGTCAATAGAGGGCGTGATGGTGATGACTTTGATGGTGATACGTGGTGCTGAGGGAGACGAGTGATATATTACAAACCAGATTTAACTTGGTGACTGTGCTAACGATGAGGAAGATGATAATATTTACAATAATAACGACAATAATGATATTTAGATTTATCTGTAATGATATGCGTTGATAAATATACGATATATGTGTGAAAACTACAAAACCTTTGAGAGAAATGTATGAACTCAATGAAGATTAAAAAAAAAAAAGATTATCTATGAAAACGCAATAAGATGATTTTAACAAGCAATGATATGCACGATTGAGCAACATGGTACGACACTATACGAGAGAAAATTCGTAAAAAAAAAGTAAAAACCTGAAGGAGAAAAAGGTTTTAAAAATATACGTTTAGATACCATTACCGAAGCAAACCTGTTACTCAAGTCCAAGTTGCACTAACCTCATAACATTTCGTGCAATTTGCAGAGTAGCAATAACTAGCCCGGTTCATCTTTTATTTCTGCGCTAAAAACTGTTTTGCATTCCCCTCACCCCCCCCCCTAAAAAAAAAAAAAAAAAATCTCGAAGAATGATAATATCGCGCCAATATTTTGGATTTGATAGTCGTGTAAGTAATCCAGTTTTCCTCACTTCCCAGCCATGCAGACTAATTAAATGATGTATATTCTTAAGTTGCATTCGATATTCTTTACTGAAAACAGTAAATATTCTTTTGAGAACATGACATTTTTTTTTTAGCTAAAACCCTTCGTGAGATTTCAAAATAACCGACGCGGAACGAACGACTGCCATCCGTTTTCGATAAGGATCTTTGCTTCGTTAAAGGGGCGACTTGTGTATTTCCGGATTTGAGGTTTTGGCCCGAGGTGAACTTCGCATGTGGAAGAAGCTTGAAAGGAAGCGGGCTGGGAGGGAGGGAAGGAGGGAGTGCGGAGAGTGAGGGAGTGAGAATGGGAGGGAAGATGGGACGGTCAGGGAGAAGGAGAAGAAATGGAAGAGGAGGAGAGAGAATTTGAACCCAGAGGTGTGTGGGTGTGAGAGAGAGAGATTGAGAGAGAGAGAGAGAGAGACAGAAAGAAAGAGAGAGAGCGAAGTGAGTGAGGGAGAAAGAACCAGTGAGAGAGAGAGAGAGAGAGAGAGACAGACAGACAGACAGACAGACTTCACCCTTATCACAGCATGCATTACCACCATACCTACATCATAACTCCTTTCAAAACATCTCAAAGACCGAACTGTAAAAACCTGAAAGGATATTTGATGAGACAGCATTAATCTCACGAGATCTAGAAGGTAAAAAGTGACATACATACACCGACCTTTGCGTGGAAGTCATTTACCTAACGATAGAGTAAATCTGGTCCTGGATATTCCCCACTTTATCTCGTTCTATCTTGTTTCCTGCCGTTATCTTATTTCTTTCCTATTATCATATTTTGGACCCGTCGGTTTCTTACTGACTTACCTTTATTCATAAGTTATATCTTATCTCTTATATCATTAACACTTTTTACAACCATTATTGGTTTCAGATTATTGCTATATGTATAATGATAATGATGATAATAATGGTAACATTAGTTGCAGTCGTAGTAGTAGCTGTGATAACAATGCTGATTATGATAATGATGATAACGTTAATAACGATGATGATAATAGTAATAAGAATAGTAATCATAATGATAATGATAATGATACTAATGATGACAATAACAATAATATTAACAATACTAATCATAATAATAATAACAATTTAAAGTAATAGCAACAACAATACTACTACTACTAATAATAATAATAATGATGATAATAACAATGATAATGATGATAATAATAATAATGATAATAATAATAATCATAGTAATAATATCAATAACAACAATAATGATAATGATAATGATGATAATAATAATAATGACAATAATGATAATAATGATTATGATAATAATAATAATAATAATAATAATAATAATAATAATAATAATAATAATAATAACAACAACAATGATAATGATGATAAAGATAATATAAATAGATAATAGTAATAATAATAATAATAATAATAATAATAATAATAATAATAATAATGATAGTAATAATAATTATAGTAATCATTATGATAACAACAACAACAACAACAACAATAATAATGATAATAATAATGATAATAATAATAGTAATAATAATAATGATAATAATAATGATAATAATAATAACAATGATGATAACAGTAGTAGTAGTAGTAATAATAACAATAATAATGATGATAATAATGATATTAATAACAATAATGATAATAATAATAATAATAATAATAATAATAATAATAATAATAGTAATAATAGTAATGCTAACAATAAAGATGATGATGATGATGATGATGATGATGATAATAATAATAATAATAATAATAATGATAATAATAATGATAATAATAATAATAATAACAATAATAATAATAATAATAATAATAATAATAATAATAATGATAATAACAATGTTAATAATAATGATAATAATAATGATAATAATGATAATAATGATGATGATGATGATGATGATGATGATGATGATGATGATGATGATGATGATGATGATGATGATGATGATGATGATGATAATAATAATAATAATGATAATAATAATAATGATAATAATAATAATAATAATAATAATAATAATAATAATAATAATAATAATAATAACAATAATATAACAACAACAACAACAACAATAATAACAATGACACAGCCCCCCATATCCACATCGTCTTTAATAATCAGAATAATAAAATCCTCATCACTTTTTAAATCAAAACGCAATTAATTCATCATCCTCTCATCATCCGTCATTAGCACAAGGATGGTGATACAGAGTATGTAAAAAAATGGCGCATTTTCGGGTGTTTTGAAGAAAATGGTGACGATGATGATGATAGTGATGATGATGACGATGATGATGATGATGAAGAGGAGGACGATGACGAGGATGATGGATGAGGATAAGGATGATGAAGAAGATAATGATGAAGATGAGTAAGAAGAAAATGAAGAAGATGAAGATGAAGTAAAAGATGAAGAAGAAGAAGATGATGAAGAAAAAGAAGAAGATGAAGATGAAGTAAAAGATGAAGAAGATGATGATGAAGAAAATGAAAAAGAAGAAGAAGAAGAGGAGGAGGAGGAGGAGGAAGAGGAATAATAATAATAAGAAGAAGAAGAAGTACGAAGAAGCAAAAGCAGAAAAAGAAGAAAAGGAAAAAATGAAGAAAAAAAAAATAAATAAAGATAAAACGAAGAAGTCGAAAAGACGAAAACGCAAACAAAATTCGCGTGTCAGCAACTTACTTCGGAAATGAAAACAGAGAAAAAAACACATTCGTCATCATCCTTCGTCTGTTGTCTTCGGCCAGCCTATTTCAGGGTTGCAAAAACAGACGCGCGCGACATTTACTACGGCGGCGCTAGTTTAACGACCGCCCAGCCACTAAAACCTTATTCCAGTCTTCGAAAGTGTCAAGAGAATCTGCCACTCACTCTCGACTCTCTTAGGATTGGGGTTAGAAGGACTGGCTTTGGTTTCGGCTTCGAGAACTCGCCGTGGTTGGTGTCCGGTTTCTGTTTTTGAGGGAGGAAGGAAGGAAGCGAAGGGTAGGGGTGGGGTGGGGTTGGGGGTGTGGGGTGGGGGGGTTCCTCCTTCTTCCTGGGCGTCAGAAAAGGGTGACGAGCCTGTTGTAGATCGTGTCTGTTCATGAGACAGGAAGAGCGACGGGTGTTATGAGCCTTGGGGAAATGACACCTGGGAAACTTGTTTTTGAAGTAGTGCTTTATTTGCCAGGTTTAATCTCCTAACTTGTTTCCACATCTTAATAAATCTCTAAATCATTCTAGAATAAGGACGATCAGTCACAAATACTAAACGAAAGATTGTTTATCCCTCATCTTTCCCATCTATTGTTGACTTTCGATCCAGACTCTGGCCCGTGAGAATCGGTCATGCAATCTGCCTGACTGGTCTCTTCAAGGGCGCGGGCTGGCACTTGCTTGGCCTTTAAGGTCACTCGCTCATGCCTGCTGCTTGGGTGAAGGTGCGTGGTATAAAGCCTGGTCGGACCTGCTTGGAGTCACACTTACTCGAACAAGAGCCATCATGAAGGTTTGTGCTTGATGCGTTCACGAGGAAGAGCAAGAAACGTGGTTAAAAAACGTCGACTTCAGGCCCCGAATTCGCTTGATTTGTCTGAAAGAAGATACTGCAGTTCTTGTGCTTGACTGTTCGCTGAAGGGGGCTGTCCATACCATGCAGAGTTATGAAATTATTCGTTTTCTCTCTGACCGATTCTTCTTTCTTCGTCCACAGATTAGCGTCGCAGCCGTCCTTGCGTTGGCCGCCCCCCTGTGCTTAGCGGCTCCCCAGGGGTACAGCTACGGTCTGCCGAGTCCCGCCCCCGCCCCCACAACCCCAGCGCCCACGCCCTACAGCTTCGCCTATGACGTCAATGCCGTCGATGCCCAGAACCGCCCCTTGCAGTACGGACACCAGGAGATCAGCCCAGGCACCGGAGTCACGAGTGGCAGATATCACATCCTGCTGCCGGACACTCGTGTCATGACGGTCGACTACACGGTCAACAGCACAGGTTTCTACCCGACGTACACGTTCCTGGGCGAGGCAGTGGTCCCTCAGCAACACGCAGGAGGCCAGGCAGCACACTCCGCGGCTTCTCAGGCCTCTACATCTTCCGGGGGCCAGACGTCACTATCATCTGCCTCACAGACTTCTGCACCTTCCGGAGGTCAAGTAACACATTCTTCTATCCCCCAAACGTTTGCTTCTTCCGGGGGTCACGCTGCACCCTCTTCTGTGGCTTCTGGTGGTCAGGTAGTACACTCTTCGTCCCCACAGACCTTTGCTCCTTCTGGAGGTCAGGTCGCACCATCCCACACTTCTGCGCCTTCCGGAAGTCAGGTGACACATACCTCAGTCCATCAGACTTTTGCTCCTTCTGGAGGTCAGGTCGCACCATCTTCCGCGCCATCTGGTGGTCAGCTGACTCATCAGACCTTTGCTCCTTCTGGAGGTCAGGTCGCACCATCTTTCGCGCCATCTGGTGGTCAGGTGACTCATCAGACCTTTGCTCCTTCTGGAGGTCAGGTCGCACCATCTGGTGGTCAGGTGACTCATCAGACCTTTGTTCCTTCTGGTGGTCAGGTCGCACCCTCTTCTGCTTCTCACACTTCTGCGCCTTTCGGAGGTCAGAACACACTCTCATCTGCCTCACAAACGCCTTCCGGAGGCCAGGGCGCCGTCGCCACCCCGACTCAGCTCTACTCCGCTCCGTCAGGAAGCCACTTGGGGTCCACAGCCTCGGCGCCTTCCGGCCAAACTGCCCCTGCGAGCGGAGGAAGCCAGGTTGCCTCGACCGGTCAAGGTTCGGGGAGCGTGACAACAGCTTCAGTCATTTCCATTCCCTTTGACACCCACGCCTCTCTCGCCAACCAGGTAGCCTCCGCAGCAGCTGCCACCCCTTCTGGAGCAGGCGGCCAGTCAAGCCTTGCAGCCCCTCAGCAGCAGATTTCGGTTGCCCCTGGATTTACTCAGCAGCAGACTTCGGTTGCCCCTGGATTTACTCAGCAGCAGACTTCGGTTGCCCCTGGATTTGCTCAGCAGCAGACTTCGGTTGCCCCTGGATTTGCTCAGCAGCAGACTTCGGTTGCCCCTGGATTTGCTCAGCAGCAGACTTCGGTTGCCCCTGGATTTACTCAGCAGCAGACTTCGGTTGCCCCTGGATTTGCTCAGCAGCAGACTTCGGTTGCCCCTGGATTTACTCAGCAGCAGACTTCGGTTGCCCCTGGATTTGCTCAGCAGCAGACTTCGGTTGCCCCTGGATTTGCTCAGCAGCAGACTTCAGTTTCCCTTGCAACTCCTCAGCAGCAGACTTCGGTTGGCTCTAACCAGGTCTCCGCCGGTCCCCTCGGCACCCAGGCGGCCATCATCTTCCCGCAGCAGCTCTCCTCGCTGCCCCTCCAGGTCGCCCCCGCCGCCACCACGGGGAGCCAGGGTACCATCTTGCTCCCTGCGCCTACCACTTCCGGTCTCCAGAGCCAGGCCTTCCCGGCGGGGCTGCAGACGGCCTTCCTCATCCCCCAGCAACACCTCCACCAGCTGTTCCCTACAACCACAGGGGGCCAGGGGACCGTCGTTCTCCCGCAGGGTTCTGTTCAACTCCCCCAGACTCTCAGCGTGGGGTCTGGCCAGCTCTCTCAATTGCTCTCCCAGGGATCCGGACAGGCTCCTCAGACGCAAGCCTCAGTTCAGGTGGGAGTGAATCCCCAGGGCCATTCCTCGGGACCCACAGGTGACCACACGTCCCTGGGATCTTCCTCTTCCCAGGGCCATTCCTCGGGACCCACAGGTAGCCACACGTCCACGGGATCTTCCCCTTCCCAGGGCCATTCGTCCCTGTCACAAGGATCAGCAGGGCCAGTCAGCAGCCAAATCAGCGTCGCCAGACCAAGCGGACTTTATTCGACGCCTCTTTAAGATTTTCACGGGGTGAGGGGGGGGAGAGCCTCGTCTTGAGACAAGATGCTTACCGACGCGCCAAGGGTTCCTCCGCGAGCCTATGTGCCCCTGGCAAGCGAGAAAC